CCCCCCCCCCCCCGGCCCCTGCATCCACCCTTCAACCTTTGGTCTCCGTGAATTTGACTACACCGGGTATCTCATGTAAGGGGAATCATATAGCGTTTGTCCTTTTTTGACTGACTTATTTCACTCAGCCGAGTGTCCTCAAGGTTCACATGTTGCAGAGTGTGTCAGAATTCCCTTCCTCTTTAAGGCTGAATAATATTCCATTGTATGTATAGACCGCATGTTGTGGACTCATTCTCCCATCAGTGCACATGTGCGTTGCTTCTCGATTTCGGCTGTTGTGAGTAACGCTGCTACGGGCATGAGCATGCGGTGACTTCAGCTCTTTAAAGTTCCACTTTGTCCCCATGAGGAGAGGCTTAGCCCCCGCCTGGGTTGGGTTGGCACAGAGCTGAGGGGGCCAGCCTTGCGGAGTTACCCTTCCCCGGGAGGGTAGAGGTGGGGGGGCCAAGAACAGAGAGTTCTCCTGCAAGCGCTGATTGAGCCAAGAGCCCTCAGACTGAGCCTTTAAATCATCCTGGGGCCGGAGGAGCTTTTCTCTGCATCTACAATGGGAGCCATAAACCAGGCTGACTTACAGACGGTACGCACCAGTCCGGTTGTTTATGGCCAGCATCCTTTCTGATTGGTTGATTGGGCCTGTACTGTGCCCATTGTTAAATATTTGAAGATCACCCTGCTATAAAGCAGTCTCAGGACTTCCCAGCCTGGCTGGGCATCAGGGTCTCTTGCAGGGAGAGTGGGGCTGCTGTATAAAAGTTCACACCCTGGGCTCCCCCCTCCACCCCCGGGGCCAACTGAGTCAACAGGGCCTGGGGGTCTATACTGTTACTTCCTGGGTGATTCTGATGCCACAATTTTAGGGGGTATCTTCTGTGGGTTCCCCCCCAAAGCAGGCCTGGTGATGAGGGTTCAGGTGTAAATCGTTTGTTGGAAAGGGAGTTCCAGGAAACGCAGGTGAGGAGTGAGAAGGTGAGACAGGAAGGTGAAGATGCAGGACCAACCAAGTCAGCACCACAGGCCGCTGGGGGTGAGTCCCAATGGGGAGCTCTGAGAGGCAGCGTACAACACGCCTCTGCATTAGCCCCCCGAGAGGTAAGGGAGCTGGAGTGGTTACCTGCCATCTCTTTATCCACCACCTTGCATCAGTCATTCTTCGAGCAGTGCTTTGGGGCTCTTAGTCCCTGGCACGTCCAGCCTGTCCGGGGTGGGGGGAGCAGTCTCTGATGGCCAGAACCCTCAGCAAAGAGTCCCAGGTTGGCACTTGGAGTTCGGGCTGGCGTCTGTGACAGTGGGATGTGCTGAGGCCTAGCGGACTGGGTACCAGTAGCATCTGGGATGGAGGGCTGCCCAGCTCCCATCTCTCCACCGTGCAAGGGGTTGTCTAGCCCCAGTCAATCATGGAGTATCCTTCCTACCCTTGAAAATCGCTCCAGGCCTCATCCACTGCTAATGGGAATGTAAATGGGGCGGCTACTGTGGAAAACAATTCGGTAGCTCCTTAATAGGTTGAATGTAGAATTACCCAGGACCCAGCAATTCCACTCCTCGTTCCTCGTTCCTGCCCACAAATGTTCACGGCAGTGCAATTCACAATAAACAACCCAAAAATCCATCAACAGGTGAACGGATACAAAAAATGTGGTCTCTCCCTACAAGGAAATGTGACTCAGCCATAGGAAGGGATTACATACTATGTTTCAACATGGATGAACCTCGAAGACTTTCTTCTGAGTGAAAGAACCCAGACACAAAGACTAAGACTACCCCCTCATAGCATCTCATTTATATGAAATATCTGGAACAGGCAAATTCAGAGAGACGTTCAGTGGCTTTGTGGTGGCCAGGGAGAGGGAGGGACGAATGGGGAATTCTTGCTGAGTGGGTATGGGTTTCCTTTTGGGGGTGATGAAAATATTCTGGAAGCAGATCGTGGTGATGGTTGCACCACACTGTGAATGTACCTAATATGGCTGAATTGTATATGTTAAAATGGTTAAAACGATGCATTTTGTGTTCTATCTATTTTATCACAACTTTGGAAGAAAACAACAAAATTCCAGGTATTTCACAGTCTGCGTCGGAGGGCATATTATCTGCTTCTCAGGTGGGAAGCAAACCTAGAGTGTGATGTGTGTACCCTAGGGCCCCACAGCCAGGGATGATTCTCCTGAGTGGCTGCGGCTAGGACCACTGGGCTAGAGTGGGGCTCCACAGATTGGCCTCATTCCTGCGTGAATGGTGCAAACAGGGGTGGCTGGAAGGCTTCCTGGTGGAGAAAAGAGCTCTGTGTCCAAGAGAAGCCAAAGCGAGGCCCAGCTTCTGCGGAGTCGCAGAACAGCCCTGGGTGGGGGAGTTTGTGCCCAGCTGGAAAATTGTGGGGCGTCTTGTCTTAAATATAATATTAAATCAGCACCTTTAATTAGTACACTTAGAAAAGGTCACTAGCAATTACCTGGGACACAAAGAAGGCATAAGCAGGCAAGAGCCTGTGAGGAAGCTGAAAAGGACCATTTTGAGCAGCACATAATTGAAGGGAAAATGGATAAAAGTCCAGGAAATTATAGGGTGGGTGACAGCAGCTGATGGCCCCATCCATGTCCTGCCCAGTGCCCCCCTTCTTGGAAGGGCCTGAGCATTGGGCCTGAGAGAGCCATTTGGGATATCTGGCTGAGTCGTATGACCTTGGCTGGAGGGCCAGTGTGGTCTTTTCCAGAACTCGGCCAGCAGAGAGCTTGGTCCCATATCCCCGAAGTGGGCTGGATCCTGATGGTGGTTGGCAGGTGAAGTGTTCACTCCAGGGGGCCGCCATGGACTTGTCATACTGTGCGCAGGCGGGACCGCTTGGGGCCTCAGGTTCCTCATATGGGATCTCCCCAAAGCATTAGGAAATAGCTCAGGGCTCCCCAAACTGCCGCTAAAGCACACCTGAGGGGAACAGAAAGGAAATGTGCAACCCCGGGGGGAGGCTGGAAGTTCTTTTATAGCTTTAGGTTCCATTTTTAAAAATAAATTGTTACATTGTGTTACATTGTGTTCAGAAATATCCCGGTTTATTTTAGTATAAAGCGATTGCTTGCCACTGAACAACACAGATGCTTTGAGGAGATGCGCTTGGTTTATCTATGACTTCATATACCTCCTCCTTCCTCAACCAGAAGCAGCCCTGCACTGGGAGTCTGGAAATTTGGGTTCTAGCTATGGACTCTGTCCCACACCATTGTACTTTGGGAAACTGGCGAAATGCCTTCAGCTTTTCCATCTTTAAAATGGGAAGTTTGGGCTCCCCAAAAGGTCTCTGAGGTTGTTCCGACTCTGTTCCATGATTTTACTCCTCTTCCTCCTGCTTCTCACCTCCTCCCCATCCCTTTGGATACTGCCATATCCTGCTCTGCTGTGACCTTGGAGAGGACACTTTGCTTCTCTGATCCTCAACTTCCTAATCTGTAAAGTGGGTAGAATAATGGCTACCAAAAGAGTTGCTGGGAGGATTTAATGAGAGAACCTGGGTGAATGAGCCTAGTACTCCATCTGGCATATCCGCAGAGCCCAGTGATTGCCCAGTATCTTCCAAGCGTTAGGCTTCCAGTTAAGGTCTGAGAGAATCATGTCCATAGAAGTCCTGAATCTTGAGTTCACGTGTCAAGTGTTGAGATGTGTCAGGTTGTGGAAACAAACAAGGGCTCTGGACCCAGAATGCCTGGGATCTGAATTCTAGCTCTGCCGTTTACTAACTGTGGGCCATGATCAATTACTTAATCACTCTTTGTGACACTGTGCACTCATGACATTTTGCACAGTTCCCGGAGGTGCAGGGACCTCCTGAAGCTAAGGCGGTCAGCCTGTCCAGTTGTCTGGGACCTTCTGGTTTTAGTATGTGTCCTGCATCCATCCCAGACAAACCAGGGGGTGGGTCACCCTGCCCAAAGCCTACCTAGGGAGGGCTGTGATCCCGGGTGGGCGGGGGGAGGTACCCTACACTAGGGCTTCTTAGGCAGGGCTATAGGCCAGGCATCCTGGGGGCCTCTGGCCAGGGCTGTGTTTCCTGGGGAACAGGGACACCTCAGTCCTCTTCTTGTGAACAGAAACCACACCCTGAGCCCAGTTCTGGCCTCGATTTCCTGCAGGCTGGGCCACATCTTCCTAATCTCTGTTTACCTCAGCACTTAGCACAAGGCCAGCACCTAGTCACTGTTGGGTAAACGCCAAGTATTGTAATATGTTGTGAATTAGAAAGGGTGCTTCCATTTGCAAAAAGCAGAAATCCAACTCAACGGACTCAGTCCAAAGAAAAAAAATGTGAGGGGAGGCAGATTTATTAGCTCATGTAGCTGAGAAGTCCAGAGGTTGAAGCTAAACTCAGGCACAGCTGGCCACACGCCCTCAAACGGAGTCTCTGTGCACCGTTTGGCTCTGTTTTCCTCCTGCTGGCCTCATTCTCAGGCCGACCCTTCCTGGGCGGTGCCAGAGATGGGTGCCTGCAGGTCCCAGGTAGCCACCCCGGTGGAAGGAGGGCTCCCCTTTCCCAGTGGTTCCAGCACAAGTCCCAGGGTTGGCTTTGACTGGCTTGTTTGGGACCCGTGCTCATCCCTGAACCAATCCCTGCGACCAGGGAGATGGAATGCTCTGATTGGCTACGGCTGAGTTACGTGTCCATCCTGGAACAGAAGAATTGAAGGGGCCTACCCTCATCTGAGCCACGTGGAGGAGGGAGTCTCCACACTAAAATCAGAAAAAAAGGGGGACAGGCCCAGATCACAGCTGTCCGTTAGCCGCCTAAAACATGGTGAGCCACAGTTCTCTGTGACGGGCACATACACGCTGTGACAAGTGGCCAAGGTAGGGCCAGGGAGCCGGGGTCAGAGCCCAGAGAGGCCCAGTGACCTGCTGGCGGTCTGTGGGGTGGCGGCTTCCGCTGGGATTCAGCCGCCTTAGTAAGGTGCTGAGGAGTAGACCAACCGCCTGGAGTTGCCCTCTGATCTCTCCCACGGCTATTCCAGGTTCTTCTGTGACGCAGTTGCTGGCCCGAGACATGGACAATGACCCGCTGGTGTTCGGTGTGTCTGGGGAGGAGGCCTCCCGCTTCTTCGCTGTAGAGCCTGATACAGGTGTGGTGTGGCTGCGGCAGCCACTGGACAGAGAGGTACGACCTGGCCACACCCCTGTCCCGGTTCTTTCCTGGGGGGCAGAGGCAGACACTGCGCGAGGCTGGCTCATCATCTTTTAGGGGCCTTCCTCTGAGGCCCCATCCTGACCCTGAAGTAAGCATCTTCCTGCCGAAATGATGTCCCTCTTCCAGGGCCAGTGCTGACATCGGACTTGGGGTTGGAATGGGGTGGTTGGGGTGTCTCCAAGCAAGGGAGAGCCCTGGACGGGCAAGAAGGACAGTGACCCAGGGTTCATCCCCCGTAGAATGGTGGCTCCGTGGTGTTTACAGGTCTACCCCCGGGAACAATGTTCCCCTAAAGGACACTTTCCAGAGACCCAGGAATTGGTGACAAGGCAGCCCTTAGCAAATTAAGGTATGAGTTTGAAACCCCAACCTTTGTTTTCTCCTCACATTTGAAGAAGGGGCCTCAGGGGTGTCTAGTGACTTGCTCAAGATCACACAGCAATTTAGAGGCCGAGCCCAGGTGAGAGCCCAGGGCCCAGGACTCAGGACGTCAGCGTGCCTCTCTCTAACTCTGCCTTCTCCCTCCCTCCCTTGTCTTTCAGACCAAATCTGAGTTCACAGTGGAGTTCTCTGTCAGCGACCACCAGGGGGTGAGTGTCTCCTGAGGCCCCTGCTGTCCTGGGAGGCAGACTCCTGGGGCCTTGGGCAGAAAGAGGCAAGGGGCCCATGCCAACACTAAATCCCCACTCTTCTCTTGCCAGGTGATCACACGGAAGGTGAACATACAGGTTGGGGATGTGAACGACAATGCACCCACATTTCACAACCAGCCCTACAGCGTCCGCATCCCTGAGGTAGGAGCCCCCAGGGTCGCGCTTGAGGGACGGGGCTGGCGGTGGGGGGGGGTGGCGCTGCCGCTCCAGGGCTACCTGGGAATGGGCTGAAGCTGGGGAAAGGGCAACTGCAGCTCTGCTTCTGCCGCCCACCCCGCAGCCCAAGTGCCAGCTCTGGGCAGGTTGGCGACCGTGCCGACACCTCCGAAGGTAGAGTGGGTTAGTGGTAGCCTCAGGTCTGATAGAAGGCCTGCCTGGGATGAGCCCCACAACTCCAGCTGGAGGCGGGGCAGGACAGGAGTTGGGAGGAGCAGGTGTTGTGGCCTCTTTCCTTCCACGCATAGCCAGTGTGGGCCTCGGGCACGTGGATTGGCAGGCCCGACCCCAGACTTTCCAGCTGTGGCCAGAACCACCCCCCCACCCCCCGCCAGGACACGGGAAGCAAGTAGCTCCAGGAAGGGACTTTCTTTCCCTAGCCTTATGCTTGCCCCCCGTCTCCCTGGCCCTCTCTGCTCCTTTGGGTCGTCTGTGTACTCTGAATGTGTTTGCATGAGTGCATGCATGTAAAACCAAGCCATCGCCGGTAATTGAGAAGTACAAATTATTGCATTACAAACGGTTCATTAATAAGCTGGCTGCTGGCTCCCAGTGGAACTAGGGTTCTCATGGCTTACTATCCCTCTCCCAGTGACTGATGGCAGTTTTCTGGGCTGGCAGTTAGCCATTCAAAGACCTTGAAGGTGGTGGGTAAAGCTTCTGCTGGGTGTCCCTCGGGCCTGCCCTCAGGGCTCTGGGTTGAATGGCAGCAATAAGGGGTTGGCCTGGGAAGGACTGGAGATGGAATCCACTGGGGAGAGGCAGGTCAGCACCACGGCGTTTGAGTTCCAGCCCCTTTATATTATATGTCACTGGATCAGGAGACTGGAAGAGTCTTTAGAAAATATCTGTTCAGTTTGTGGATGAGAAAACTGAGGCTCAGTATGGGACAGTGACTTAGCCAAGGTCACACAGCTTTGACCCTGAGCCTCCTGACGCCCAGGGCAGCCCTCAGATTCCCTCCAAGGTGGTGATACCTTGTCTCATGCTGTTCCTGTTCCTGGCCCTCCTCACTCAGCTATGAGCCAATGGTCCTATGGTTGTGCCAGATGGAGGAAAGTGAGGACAAGTGTGTGGGTAGGAACACACCAGAGGCTCCCGCGCCCTTCCCCTGACGGGGCAGAGCATAAGGAGGGAGAAACCACAGTCCCAAGCATGGGGACACAGTGCCCTGAGCTGTGGCCAGCGTGTCCAGGACTGCAGCTTGGCTCTGGGCCCCCTCTCATTTGGAAGTCTCCCTAATTTAATTAAGGGTCTCTACGTGCCTGCCTGCACTCTGGGCCCAGGCTCAGAAACCAAGGGCACGGCTCAGAGTTAATGAGCCTTGGACCCATTGCTCAGCTGCCATCCTGGCAGGCATGGCTGCCCTCTGTCTTCCCTCACAGGGAAGGGGACGAGAGGTCACATCCCTCCTCCCCAGCCTTTGGGCCAGGGCCAGCCTTTTTCCTCCCTACCTTGCCAGGAGATATGACCTCAACACCACCCTGTTGGAATCCCCTGGGATTCTCCAAAGGCCTCTGCCTTCAAGGAGAGAGCCTCTTCAGTCAGTCATCTATTTAACAAATATTTATTGAGTGTCTCTGTAGGCTGGGCACTGTGCCAGTCTCTCGCCACACAGAGACCTGGAAGGCCAGAAGAACACGCAATGACAGGAGGCAGAACCAGCGGCGGGAGACCCCAGGCCCAGCCCCTGCTCTGCTTCCAGGCCACTGAGTCCATTTGGGCATGTCACTTACCCTCTCTGGGCCATAGTCCTCCTTATCTAATAAAAACAGAGGACCGGCAGGGTAAAGCAGCCTGCCTCCTACGCATCTGATGAGGAGAGGGTGGGCTGAGAGGGCCAGCTACAAGGACACACGGCTCTTGGAGGACAGCCTGTGTGGTTTACTTGCCTGTAAACATCCCCACGTCACCTCCTTGACTTGATACGTGATGCCCTACTTAGGGCTGCTGGGTGTGGCCGGTGGGGTGTGGTGTCAGGTGGATGAAGGCCTGACCACTCCTGACCCGAGGTGGCTTGGCACCCACCAGCCCTGGCCTGGTGTGGTCACCTGAGCTAGAACTTAGCTGCCTGGCTCAGGCCCCAGCTGAGGTACCAGCGAAGGGCCTGCTGGCTCCTGGCCCAGAATTGAGCCTGGGCTCTCCTGCTGGCCTGGAGGTCACCCTGGCAACGCCAGGCCCCTGCCCTTCAGAAGCATGATGTGTGGCAGAGGCCCTATGGAAGTGAACAGGGTGAGAATGCAAACTAGAGAAAGAAGGGGGCCCTGGAGACCCTGTGAGTTGTCCGTGCTGAGGGGTTGCCAAAGTGATCAGAGAAATCTCAGCGGGCTTCCTGGAGGAGGTGGCTTTCCAGCTGACGCTTGCCAAGGTGAGCAGTGGAGCTCCTGTAGGTCAAGACACCTGGGGTTTAGTCCTGGCTGTGCCAGCTACTGGCTGGGTGAGACTCTGAGCCTATTACTGCCCCTGCTGGCTTTGGTTCCACAGCTGTTAAACTGGGGAGTTGGACCAGGTTCCTTCTAGGGCTGATAGCCAGTGGTTTGAGGATAAATCCCAGCAGGAGAAGCTCCTAATTCTCCTTCAGTACTTCATTATTCCTCAACGGCTGGCAGAGAAGCTCCTGTGGCTGTTTCCATCTACTGAGCTCCTCTTCGGGTCGTGCCAGCCACCTGCCACCTCTCCCTCACCTTCTCAGCATCCACTGTCCCCAGCCCTAGGGGCCCTGATAATATGGGGGTCTGTTGTGCCCAGAACCCAAGGATGGGTGTGAAGAGCAAGTTTATAGGGAGACAAATTCTAGGTCTACATAATGAAGAACTTTCTAATATTGAAACCTAGTGCACAGTCTACCCCCCTACCCTCCCAAAGATGTACTGAGCTCCCCAGCCCTGGAGCTAAAGTAGGAAAACCACGAGTTTCAGAAACCATTCAGAACTGAGTGTTAGAGAAGGGAGGAACCAGAAGGTCCCAAACATTCCCCATCAGAATTTCCTGGGGGACTAGTTAGGATATATACTCTTGCACTCCTCCAACCCTGAATCAGTAGTTTGGAAAGAGCCAGCCCAGAAAGCTGCATTTTTAACAAACTCCCCTGGTGATAGCAAGCCCCGGAGACATGGCCCATGGGGACCCGTGTCCTCGGGCCCGGAAACGGAGTGGGTGGGAGCCCGGATCAAGACCAGGCCCTGCCCCTTTCTCCAGGAGAAGCTCGCTGGCCCCCTGCCCTGCAGCCCTGCCCGTCTCCCTCCCGAGACCCCCTGCCTGGCCCTGCCCCTGCTCAGAAGTCAGACAGGTGTGTTTGGGTTTCTGTGTTCCTGGTTCCCCTCCTGCCCAGCCCTCTCCCCTCACTAAGCTGTTCTACATGTAATTATCCATTTTATCAGGGTGAAAGGCCCTGCAATTCACTTGTCGAAGCCCTAACGAGGCAGCGTGGATGCTTTCAAGTCCGTAAAGAAAAGGGAAATCCTGCTAGAATTGGCAACTTAATTCACCAAGCCAGCCTCGACAGACCTCATTAAGTCCCCGTGTATTCATTTCAGGCTAATGGCTGTCTTGCTGACTGCTATTTGATTTGCTGTAATAGACTTTTATGGCGTTCCAATTTGCTCAAACGTGTTTGCCTGTGTCTGTGCCCAGCAGCCCCGCTCCACTACCTCCATTAGGGGTGTGTGTCCGCCTCGCTGACCTTCAGCGCTGCCCTGTCCCCTGTGTCCTCCTGGGGCCACCCCTCCCCCACAGCCCTCCAGGTGTGCCCTGGAGAGGTGACCCTGGGGCTGGGGTGTTGAGGCTGCAAGATGGGTACGAGTTTAGAAGTCGGATGGTGCCAGGTGGCTCCTCGGATCAGGGAGTCAAGGAGGGCTTCCGTAATCTCAGGGACGGCCGTGTCCTTGAAGTTCTGACAGGTTCAGCCACCATAGCTGGGCAGTTGAGGCTGTTCTCCACCTGGCCTCAACCTACCTTTCTCGCCTTCCCTGCCGGCTTCCTCCACGTGGATGGCGCTGTCAGCCCAGGGGCTGATTCAGTGCCCGGAAGCCTGTGTTCGTCTTTCTTTTCTCTTGCTCCAACACACATACATTGTACTGTTCTAACTGGTACTGGAGTGTTCTCTTTCCTCTCTCAGCCTGACTCAATTCTGCCGGTCCTTTGAAGCCCAGAGCTGACCCACCGTGCCCTGATCCACTCCCAATTTTTATCTTTAAACGAACACAGCAAACACTCGCCGAATAGCCATGGAGCAAGGCCCACGGATTCTGAGCTGACTCGGATGTGTAGGGTAGAGTAAAAGGACTTTCCCATTTGCCAGCTGTGCAACTTTGGATGGTGACTTAACCTCTCCGGACCTCAGTTTTCTTATCTATGAGATAAGCCACACTTTTGCCTTGTGGGGTCATTGTGAGAGATAGAATAATGCAAGGGGGTAAAGCCCTTAGCCCCGTTTGTGGCTCATTGTATATTCAGTAAAATGCTGGTGACCAAGACCAAGGTCTTGTCCTCGGGGGAGATAATTTTACAGGGAGAAAGACAAGTAAGAGGAGGTCTAACTACAGATAAATGTATTAAATGCCATGGTAGCTTAGGGTGTGCAAAGCAGGAGGGAAGCTCTGTGGAAGGAATGACCTAGTCTCTACACAGGGGCTATTTGTTTGGGACCTCACAGGATGTGTAGAAGTTTGGTAGTCACAGAAGGAGATTATGGTGTCTCTGAATATCATATACTCTCTGTCCTTTAGCTTCTTTTCATATATTGGAATTTCCAAAAGAGGGAAGTGAACCCTAACCCCTGACCAGGGATCCTGTTGAAGAGGGGCCAGTGGCTGTTGGGGTATGTGTGTCCCTCACTGGTACCCAGTGTTCCCTTGTGAAAATAGAGCTGGGCTGGGAGTAGGCTCCCTGGGTCCCTGCCCAGGTCACTGTGACAGGTCCTGCAT